GCAGCACCCGGACAGACAAACTGCAGCCCCCTGTGTCTGTGCAGTTACCAGCCACTCCACTGAGGACTTTCCCCTCCTGCACTAGGCAAGATGAGACTTGGGCTCCATTTACTTTTCCTTGTGGCGGCTCTGGAAGGTATTTTCTCCCTATACATGCACTGGGGAAGGGGGCAAACGTTCTTGGTTTTCTGCAATGATCTAAAAACGTATTTTGTAAAGTGCTTTTATTGATATTCGTCTCCTGTTAACTGACGGGGAATCGTGTTTCATGTGACTGGTTCCCTCATTGTTTGCTTTTCTCTCTCCCCTTTCCCACAGGGGCCTGGTCACAGGTTGTTCTGACCCAGTCGGGTCCAGAACTGAAGAAGCCCGGAGAATCCACTCGGCTGAAATGCGCCGTGAGCGGGTTCGCTGTCTCCGGCGATTACATGGCTTGGGTCAGACAGGAGCCGGGAAAGGGGCTGGAGTGGCTGGTCAGCTACTGGAAACCAGGGCAGAGCGATTATTATTCTCCCACCATCAAGGGGCGATTCACAGCCTCCAAGGACAGCTCCAATTTCTACCTGCAAATGAACAGCCTGAAAGCCGAGGACACTGCCGTGTATTACTGCGCCAGAGACACAGCGAGGGGAAGCCAGTCTGGGCTCAGACAAAAACCTCGCCCTGCAGACACTGGGGAAGGGATTTCCTGGGGGTGGCGCTTTCGATCCACAGCAGTGAGAGAGACACACAGTATCTCCCCTTGAGGAGATCCCACACAGCTGCCAGGGGAGAGAGAGGCTCTGTTGACTCCATCTGCCCCTGGGGAGCGCAGGGAGCAGATGCTCAGTGGCTATTTTAGGGAAGAAGGAGCAGGTGCATCCGCCCTCACTCTGCGATGCCCCCACTGACTCACCAGGGCTTTCTGGTCAGCCACTCTCCAGTGCAAGGCTCCCTCCTCTCTTTGAAAGGAGAAGCTGAGACCTGAGGAAAGGCCAGTGGCAAGGCTGAGCCAGGAGTGAAGCTGGGGAGGGGTAGCTCAGTGGTTTGAGCATTGGCCTGCTAAATCCAGTGTTGTGAGTTCAATCCTTGAGGGGGCCATTTAGGGGTCTGGGACAAACAAGATAGTTGGGGGTTAGTTTTGCTTTGAGCAGGGGGATGGACTAGATGACTGAGTCTATGACCATCCCCATCAGCCCATGGATAATTCTCTGGGGGTGAAATTCACCCCCGTGTGGAGGGCCTTACACAAAGGCCTCTGCCTGTACTGTGTCCCGCCGAGCCAGAGGAATTTCTTCACCTCATGCAGCAGTATAGAAGTGCACAATCCTCATTTCCCCTCCCTTCCCCCTTCTGTTCACACTGAATCCTGTGCCGGTTGGGTGGGATATGGGCCTGTTTTCACGCGCACACCTACTGTGCCTCGTGCACCTTTAGCACAGGGGCATTTTAGTGTCCTTCTCCTAGCTCGACCTCAGCCAATGTGCAGAGAGGGGGGAGAATTCCATGGGAGTCGGATGAGCAGAGACACAGCAAGAATAACCCGACTGATGAGTGTCCCCAGGGCACAAACAACCAACATTTTCAACCTGAACCAGCAGGATCAGCCCCAGAGAGACAGAAAAGCGGCGCCATTGCACAAACAATTCCCCTAATCCAGAAGAAGAGGCTCGAATGGACACCGGTGTTATTTACCACGTCTCTGCTTCTCAGCAAAAGGGGGACATCTTGAGGACATACAAACACTTCTTAGGTGCCCAAAGGCCTTTTGTTTCCAGAGTGCTTAACTGCCCTGGGTGCTTTCAAATATGCCATAGAAAAATAAATTATTTCAATATCATAAAACCAAATTAATCATCCTTTGTTCTCTCACCTAACAAATGTAACATCTGTGGCCAATATTTTCGTAAAAGATCATCATGCCCCGTGCTTGGGTAGCCATATTGCTGCACCTCTACAGGAATTTATAGCCCGAAGGTGCTGACCACTCAAATTCTCAAAATCAAGAGCCTTCTTAGTTGCCTCAAAATGGCAAAGAAAAACCCCGGGACACTAAATAACTAGCCCTTTGTAAACAGTTTCTCCTGTGTGCACGGTAGGAAAACTGGTGTTGAAATGACACAGGCCCCAGTATTGTAAGGATGCTATTTACCAGGGCTATTGTAAGGATGAATTTACCAGGGCTTTGAACAAGTATCAGGCACCGTGTTGAAGACACATCACACAGTCCTTGCTAGACGCTCTAGTACGTCACTCTCCTCTGTGAGCTCGGGGCTGGGAGCTGGAGCCCATTCACAGTTGAATTGATCCATCCCTTAAGCGAAAGGGACGATGCAACTAGGGGCTACTCACCTCCCCTGCTCTAAACCCCTCATTCCCCAGCCCATGCAGGTCTTGCACTGAGAAGCTGCAGCCTTCTGGGTTCAAGCAATGAAGTACAGCAGTTAGAATCACAGAATCAGAACAGGAAGGGACCTCGAGAGGTCATCTAGTCCAGCCCCTGCACTCAAGGCAGGACTCAGTATTATCTAGACCATCCCTGACAGGTGTTTGTCCAACCTGCTCTTAAAAATCCCCAATGATAGAGATTCCACAACCTCCCTAGGCAATTTATTCCAGTGCTTAAACACCCTGACAGTTAGAAAGTTGTTCCTGATGTTCAACCTAAACCTCCCTTGCTGCAATTTAAGCCCATTGTTTCTTGTCCTATCCTCAGAGGTTGAGAACAATTTTTCTCCCTCCTCCTTGTAACAACCTTTTATGTACTTGAAAACTGCTATCATGTCCCCTCTCAGTGTTCTCTTTTCCAGACTAAACAAACCCAATGTTTTCAATCTTCCCTCATAGGCCATGTTTTCTAGACCTTTCATCATTTTTGTTGCTCTTCTCTGGACTTTCTCCAGTTTGTCCACATCTTTCCTGAAATGTGGTGCCCAGAACTGGACACAATACTCCGGTTGAGGCCTAATCAGCACGGAGTAGAGCTGAAGAATTACTTCTCCTGTCTTGCTTACAACACTCCTGCTAATACATCCCAGAATCATGTTTGCTTTTTTTTTTCAACAGCCTTACACTGTTGACTCATATTTAGCTTGTGATCCACTATGACCCCCAGATCCCTTTCCGCAGTTCTCCTTCCTAGGCAGTCATTTCCCATTCTGTATGTGTGCAACTGATTGTTCCTTCCTAAGTGGAGACTTTACATTTGTCCTTATTGAATTTCATCCTATTTACTTCAGACCATTTCTCCAGTTTGTCCAGATCATTTTGAATTTTAATCCTATCCTCCAAAGCACTTGCAACCCCTCCCAGCTTGGTATAGTCTGCAAACTTTAGAAGCATACTCTCTATGCCATTATCTAAATAATTGATGAAGATATTGACCAGAACCAGACCCAGAACCGATCCCTGCTCTGTGCCCTTCCAGCATGACTGTGAACCACTGATAACTACTCTCTCTGGGAACGTTTTCCAACCAGTTATGCACCCACTTTATAGTAGCTCCATCCAGGTTGTATTTTCCTTGTTTGTTTATGAGAGGATCATGCGATGTCATACCCTTTCCCCAGATACATAAACCAGGGCTCATCGGATGAAACTAATAGGCAGACACATTAATTCAAACAAGAGAACGTTATTTTTCACACAACGCACAATTCACCAGGA